ATCTTGGTGTATCTGTTGATGTTTGTCTTGTGCCCCAGTATGTGATCGATCCTGGAGAATGATCCATGTGCGCTTGAGAAAAATGTGTACTCCGTTTTTTTTGGGTTTAGTGTTCTATAGATGTCTGTTAAGCCCAAATGCTCTAGGTCCTTATTTAGAGCTTTAGTTTCTTTACTTATTTTTTGTCTTGTTGATCTATCCATTGTTGATAGTGGTGTGTTGAAGTCTCCCACTACATATGTGTTTTCTCTGATGTCTGTTTTCAGAGAGGACAACAGTTGTCTGATATATTTTGGTGCTCTTTCGTTTGGTGAGTATATGTTAATGAGTGTTATTTCTTCTTGAAGTATTGTCCCCTTAATCATAATGTAGTGACCATTGGGGTCTCTTTTTATTTTTTTGAGTTTGAAGTCTGTTTTATCTGATATAAGTATAGCTGTTCCTGCTTTCTTTTTTGGCCCATTTGCTTGTAGGATTGTTTTCCATCCTTTGACTTTGAGCCTATTTTTATCTTTTGTAGCTAAATGTGTTTCCTGGAGACAGCAAAAGGTTGGGTTTTGTTTCTTAATCCAGGCTGCAACTCTGTGTCTTTTTATTGAAGAGTTTAGTCCATTTACATTTAGAGTTAATATTGATATGTTAGCATCTGTATTTGCCATTATGTTTGTCTTTCCTTTGATTTTATTTATTTATTCTTTTAATAACTTTTTTTTTTTTTTGGTCTTCTTTCGTTGTTATTCGTCCCTCTGAGGTTCTGGCTTTAGGATTCCTTGTAATATTTTTTGGAGTGGGGGTTTAGTCGCAATGAAATTCCAGAGTTTCTCTTTGTCTGGGAAGGTCCATATTCTTTCTTCATGGAGGAAAGAGAGCTTTGCGGGATAGAGTATTCTTGGTTGGCATCTGTTTTCTTGGAGTCTGTTGACTATGTCCCTCCACTCTCTCCTTGCCCGTAGTGTTTCTTCAGAGAAGTCTGATGTCAGCCTGATTGGTTTTCCTTTGAATGTTATCTGTTTCTTCCTCTTGTCAGCTTCATTATTTTTCCTTGTCCTGGATTCTTGGGAGCTTTACTATTATGTGTCTTGCTGTGTTTTTCCTTTCATCGTGGAAGTTTGGTGTTCTTCTTGCTTCTTGTATATCAATTTTCAGCTCCTTCTTCTCATTTGGGAAGTTCTCTTCAATTATATCCATGAATATTTTCTCTGTTCCTACATCTCTCTCCTCTCCTTCTGGAATTCCTATAACTCTTATATTTCCTTTCCTCATGGAGTCAGATAGTTCCCGAAGTCTTTCTTCATTCTTTTTCCTTCGTACTTCTCTTTCCTTTTCTGTTTTGGTTCTTTTTATTTCTGTGTCTTCAAGATTACTTATTCGTTCTTCCATTTCATCTATTCTGCTTTCATTGCTTTTCCCAGAGTTCTTTAGTTCCTCCATTAATTCTTTGATCTCCTGCATTTCTCTTACTTCCCTCTTTAGGGACTCAATTTCCTTCTTCTGATCTATCACTTTTTTAATCATGGCAATTTTAAATTCTCTTTCTGGAAGGCTCAGAAGTTCTTCCAAGTTGCTGTCGTTGCAATCTGGGGAGTGGTTTTCTTTTTGTGGTGTGCTTCTTTCCTGAGGAGTTTTTAGGTTGCGTGTGGTTCTTCTACTCCCTACTGTCTGTTTTCTAATTTGTCGTATGCGTTGGGACACTGTGTTGCTCGGACTGACTGACATCTTGGGTGAACTTCTCCGCTCCCCTCTGGCTCTTCCAGGAGCCATCTCTGTCTTCTGGGGGAGCTTTCTGCTGGTTTTAGGCAGTTTTTACTGAAGAAATGTCCCTGTTCTGAAATGGCGAAGTGGGATGCAGTCCCTGCGCCTCCGGTTTCAGGCACACTCTTCTGCGCCCCCAGTCTGCCCCGGACGTGGGTGCCTGCTCCCTCTGTGGGCTCAGACTGCTGGTCGGAAGGGGCCTGGCGTGGAATAACTTCCCGGCTGGCCACTGCAGAAGCCTTCTGCCCTTTTCAAGCAGTCTTAAGAAATTTCCTGTTCTATGGGGTGTTAGTGACTTTTTTTTTCCTGGTCACTAGGTGGCGCCAGAGATCTCTCCTATTGTCCTTGGGGGGCTGTTTTTCGTCCCCCCCACCCCGTGGGACAGGGAACAGAGCGGGAATGGTAGGGTACACCTCAACAGCTTTGGGGTGCTGTGTCTGCCTTGTGCCCCACCGTCGTGGAGAACCCACGCCCCGAATTTTCGTGCCCCGGGTCTCAGTTCAAAGCCCTCAGTTCCAGGACGCGGGCTGTAGCCCAGTTCAGTGGCGCGGGAATGGCGCCTTTTGCACCGCTCCCGTGCCCGGGTGCCTGGTTCCTGCTCACTCAGGGAGGGACCTTCACCTCAGTGAGGACCTCCGCGCGTCTCCCCGCAAGCCTAGGTCGTCTCCCTGCAAGCCTAGGTCGCAGGCGCGGGGACCTGGGCAGCCGCGATCCAGGTCTGCACTTGCTTTTCAAGCTCCCCGAGCGCGCCGCGTTTCCACGCCAGCTTACCGGCAGCCCGGGCTGTGTGCGCGTCTCCCGGGGTCTTTGTTCTTCTCTAATGGCGCCCGGAGCCGTTCGCTCACCGCCGCGGCGGATCCTGCAGGGTTCGCCTCAGCTCCCGTTCACGGGGTGTGGTGGCTGCAATAGTTCCTTTCCGCTCACAGTCCCGCTTGCTGCATCGTTTCTTCTTGTGGGCCGTTTTGGTTTGTTGTTTTCCTCCTCTCTGCCGGTCGGAGAGTGCCGCCTCTGTGGGCGGGGGAGGGGAGCAGGGTTCTGCGCTTCCCTCCCTTCTAGTCCTCTTTTATGGCCACTTTCTTCTTCGGGTAGTTCGCTGGCGTCACCCGTTTATCTTCCGTGTCCCAGTTCTCACTCGGACCTGCCGCTTTTCCTCCCTATTCACTTTTTTTAATGGGAGATCTTACTCGCAGCGTCTCCTCGCCGCCATGTTGCTCCGCCCACCTCGGACTTTCCATTTTTAATAACTTGCCTTAAAGCCATGTCTTTGAGACTTGCCAGGCTATTATTAAAATCCAGGTGTGGTGCTAAGCTCCATCCAAGTGGTCGTGATGGATTTTCCTTAGAACTCAGTTTAGACGTGGGCTCAGAAAGGCCCCTGCAGGGTGGAAAGAAACTAGACCACAGATTACAGCTGGTGAGATCTGGATGGCAGCCCCACCTGGCCAAGCAGCCTTCCACTCAAGTTCACAGTGTATGTGTGGACATGTTGTATGTGTGGATGCACGTGTATGTGATATATGTGTGTGGTGCATGTGGGTGCATGTGTGTAAGACTGTATAGCCATGTTTCTGTGAAGTTATGTGCATGTGTATACATGTATGTATGAATGACGAGAGAGTAAGAGTGACAGAGAGTGTCTATTCCTGGGGCTCTGGCCCTACAGAGAGTAGCCATCTTCAAAAATGTCCAAAAAAAAGGGGAAAGGAGTCAGAATGCTAGGATTTCATAGGGATATAAGGAAATGGCTTAAAATGATGACCAAGAATCTGCCTAGAGAGCCTGACTCTGGTCTTCTCATATCCCAGAAGCTATAATAACTAGCAGGTTGCATTAAAAATCTGAAAACAAAAAAACTCTGCTAGTGTCACATTATTTCAACTAATCTTTACTACATGCTTAAGTAGGCAGGCGCAGTATCACCATTTCTTGGATGATAAAATGTAAGGTCCCTTCCTCCATGAGGTTTTCTTGGATTGCTTAACCCTGCCTTCTGGCCCACAACTCACCCAGCCAATGAGTCTTCCCTTCTTAGAACAATTACTATTCTCTGTCCTAATACCCACAAAAGTTAATAATAATAGCTACTAGTCACTTTCTGAAAGTAGGTTTTCTTTTTTTTTAAATTTACATATATATATATATATATATTTTACATCATTGTTCATTTTTAAACAATGTTCGCTTCCCACCCCCCAACCCTCCCAGGTGTAGTCCCCATAGAATTTCCTTCACCAGTTCACCCGTGCACCATCACCACAGTCCCCTGTGCTCCTCCCTCCCTCCTTCTGATCCCTCTCCCAAAGTAGGTTTTCTTATCTTCATTTTACCATGAGTCAACTGAGGCTCAAGAGTTAGGAAACTTGCCTAAGATCACACGACTAGAAAAAAAGTAAACATGACAGAACTGAGATTTGGTTAAGGGGTCAGCAAACTTAATGGTCTATGGGTCAGATTCCACCTGCCACATATTTTTGTAAATAGTTTCAGTGGAGTAACAGGGCTCATGCATTTACGTATTGCCAGTAGCTGCTTTTGCTCTCTGATAACAAAGCAGAGTGGTTGCCACAGAGACTGCCTGACCCATGGAGCCTAAAATATTTGCTATCTGGTTTCTTTTGCAGAAAAAAGTTTACAGATCCCTTATTTGGTTTGCTATTCCAGAGGCCATTCTCTTAAAGAATCATACTTTTGCCAGTTATTATTTGATAGTGTTCTGTTTCTATTGCTTTCTAAGAGATGTTGGGGAGGCGTTAGTTTATTTTCTCAGCTGACTAGATTCAGAAACCAAATCTACCTTCGAAGTGACCACCTCATGCATCAGGCTAAGGACCACTATTGGTCAGGCTGGGTGACCACATTGCCAGCTATGCACATCTCGTTGGGACCTCACACACAGTATGCACTAGCAGTAGCAATGGTTTGAATTGGTGCATGTTTTCACTGGGGGATAGGAAGAGAAAACCCTCCCTGGAGCATCCAGTCTCTGAAACCCAGCAAGTACCTGATACTTCCTGCCTCTGCCTCCCCAGGGAAATCCCTTTTTCACTAAGCAGAAAGTCAGCCTGTCTCTCCACAGACAGCAGGCAACCCCCAGAGCTCACTAATTGCAGGAAGAGCCCACTATTGTCCCTTGGGGAGTATCGCCTCATTTGAATTCCAACCCCAAAATGAAATCAATACCAATCATTATATCTATTTTTAAAGCGACCTGCTAAGGCCTTTTCTTCCTGCAATCTCATTTTCAACAGACCGCAATTAGCCCTCTGGAGAATGCCATTGAAACCATGTCTGCGGCCAACGAGAAGATCTTGATGATGATAAACCAGTACCAGAATGATGAAACCCTCCCCATTAACCCATTCTCCATGCTTCTGAATGGGATTGTGGACCCTGCTGTCATGGGGGGCTTCGCTAAGTACGAGAAGGTAAGGGCTTCTACTTTGCAGACCTTGGTGGGGGCAAAACAGTGGCAGGCAGGTCCAGGGGCAGACACAACTGCATGTCACTCATTTTAATGTGACTTTTTGCCCACCAAAGGAAAATTTCAGGTTTTTACAACCAGAGTTTTTACAACCTTCCTCTCATCTTCTTCATTGTCACATGCTGGTAGAATAGGAAGGAGCTGGGGTGAAAAGTACCTACGTCTTAAGGGGCACATCCCATACCCCTCTATCAAGGAAAGACTCTGGGATGACTGTAAGCCAGGCCACAAAATTCTAGGAGCCACAAATCAAAGTGCTCGCCGCCTGAGTAAACCCATCTCTTTCACTAATGATTTGAAGTAACTGCTACCAATAGGGGGAAAAAATGAAAATGAGAATCTGTGAACATATAGAAAGAATAAGAAACAATTCTAGTAGAGGACTTAGAATCTAGATATCCAGGTCATAAAATCCCTTTAGAAATCTCCACATATTTAAGCCACAGATTTCAATTTTGAGCCTCCTAGTGTCCATGACAAAAAGAGAAATGTCATGTTAGATAAGCCACATTCTCTACTAGGGAAAAATACCAATTTCCCAGTAGGAGAGCATAGCTCTTTCTGGCATTGAAGTGGAATAGAAAGTCCTTAATGCATCTAGTCCATGCATTAAGAGGACATTGAGGGGAAAAAGGACTCCTCATTTTAATGATTCGCATGATGAATTTCCTACTATCTTTTCTTTTACATTCATTGATGTAAAACTAAGACTAAACACTCTAGTATAATTTAACCACAGTAATTCCAACCAGGTTCCCTCAGATACCCATTCTGGTAACCCTTTGTTCAGCCTTTAGGGATGATATGTCTTTATCTATGTGTGCACACAATAAGATATGAGCCCCAGAAAGAGCTTGGAGCTGCCAGATTCCCAGACAATGAGAGACTTGGTGAAGGGAGCTGGACCACTTACAAGGTGAAAGCCCTAACTGAGTTCTCCTCCCTGGAGCAATGCTCTCAAACCTGAATGTGCATCGAAACCCACTTCAGGGCTTCTTAACACACAGAATAGCCACTCCACCCCCGAAAGATCTGGTTCAGTAGGTCTGGGTGAACCCATGAATATACATCTCTAATAACTTGCCAGATGATACTGAGGCTGCTGGTCCACAGATCCCACTTTGAGAACTACTTATGTGAGGTTTGTGATCCATTTCTATGGTACTAATCTGAGACTACAGGAAGAGGAAACAGTGTCAGTCCCTGTAAGTCCCTACCCCATCCAATACTTGTGACCTCATTCTTGCCCCCTCAAATGGAATCCGATCCCAGTGCCACAGAGATGGGTTGTGAGGTCCATGCCAAATGAGCAGGAAACCCAACACCAGTCTGTCTTCCCAGGCCTTCTTCACAGAAGAGTACACCAGGATCCACCCTGAGGACCAGGACAAGCTGAGCCGCCTCAAGGACCTGATTGCATGGCAGGTAAAGCAGAGCTGGTCTGGGGAGCAACCAGCCCCACTTCCTTTCTCTCCCCAGTGGATTCAGGTTCACTTGCCCTTGGGGATCCTCTGCTTGGAATGCTGGTTCCTTGTTCCCCTGGCCCTGGGCTTTAGGCTCTTCTGCCTCTCCGCACCTGGGGAGGCGCATCCTGTAACCTGGCTGGGGGGCACTGGACCCAAAGAGGCTGTATAGCCTCTGAATGCTGTGCTGCCATTGCTAAGATTGCTTTGTTGGATGTCAAATTCAGGAGGTGTTTAATTCCAGTGGGACTGAAATGAAAGCCAGGCCCCCACACCTCTGCCACCACCTTCCCCCCCACAGCCAGCAGGCGCCAATCAGATAACAGAAGACACCAGCCCCCACCTCTCCTCCTCCTAAAGCTGACCCAGTTTGTTGCGGATAATGCTCAGATGGATATCAGGTTTGGAAAATAATTGAGGCCTGTATTTGGCTGGTGTTGGGTCAAAGGACCTGCATTCAGCACTAGCTGCTTAGCCCTCTGGAGCCCTGCCAGAGGACTTGGAAAGCAGCTCCTGCCTGCCTGCTGCTGGCTCTTGTGGTAGGCTTGTCTTCTTAGATCCCTTCTTTCAGTGTACCCTGAACCCTGCTTCCTGCTCCCCTCCTTCCTCTGGCTCTCTCTCCTGTGTTTTTTCTCCCTCCCCTCTCCCCTTCTCTGGGCCTCTTTCTCTTCCACTTTCTGGAAAACAAACAACCCACCAGACCACCCCATTCCCCACCACCACCACCGCCAGTGGCATTCAAAGGACCAGCTTCCCCCCTTCTCAAATGTCTCCCTCTGCAAACCCCAGCACCCAGAACACAGGCTCCAGAGGACTGGAGGGAGGTAGGGTGGGAACAGGGGCAGCAGTTTGCAGCTGCCTGTCCTCCCTCTCTCCCTTCTTGCCAGTCACTGTGCAAAGAAAAGCAAGCTATTGTGGTGGGGAGTTTTTGTTACTCCAGGGAAATCAGGGAATGAGAAGCATTGGGTGCAGCCTCTTTTCTTAAAATAAGGATTCCTAATTCAGGTCCTTCTCTGCCTCTGCCAATTTATGCAAAGTGAGGCTTTAAAAATGAAATGCCAAGCACTGGTCGCACAGACACACTTTCTGAATGCATCTTGTGGGGCTGGAATTTTCTCTCCCTTCTTACCCTGTGCCACCTGTGAAATTCAAATATTCCCAAGATCCCCAGCCTTCTGAGGTCTGCGTGACCTTTAACACTCAATGACATTCCTCCTCAACCCCCAACTCAGGCAGCAGGAAGGCCCAACTGATTGGTCCCCCTTTTCAGATGTTTCTGGGGTGCCCCAGAGAAAACTAACATATCATAAAAATTTGTCTATTGGTTGGGTGTCACTCTCCATCCATATCAGAGCCCTGCACCTCTCCACTGTGGGTATCTTTGCACCTGGTAATTATTTCTCCATGCTTTGTCTCCCACACCCAAAGCATGGACCCTGGCCTCAGCACATGGACCCAGGCCATGACTTCTAGGAAACTCTGCCAAAGTCTAGGAGCTAATGGAGGGGTACTACAAACAGAGAAGAAAGATTTTGAGAGCAGATATTAGGTGTACAGAGTCCCAGTAATGAGCAAGACTTCTTCAGGCAGTGCCCTCTAGGGGCCACCATTCCCTATTACCCTTTTTCCCTCCCATCCCCTGCCACCATATTGTATATCATCACTGAATCCCTCAAAGGAGATTGCTCTGAGCCAAGTCCCTCCTGTCCAGAGACAGGCACCCTAACTATGGACACAGTTAAAACATGCTGTCCTGTTCATGGTGAAAACAACCTTCTTATATTTTCACACTCAGCAAATAAATTCTTCCTCACCCATTCCATTGATTCTTGCAACTTCTTTTTAACCAAGCCCTAATTCTGTGTCAGGCAGCAGAATATAATGCAGGACAAAACTGAACCCATTCGCTATCTTCTTGGATCTTAATTCTAGGTTGGATCTTGGTTTTGAAAAGCCAAATACACTCTGGCTTTTTTCAAAACATGAGAACCTTAGATTTCAAAGGGGGATGTATTTGCACCTCATCTAGCAACCCAACAAAAGCTGAAGTTTTCAAAGCACGTTTTTGTGTTCAAGCCTTTACCGGTTGCAAGATGACTGCTTCTTAATATTTTTTTTCTTTGTAAAGATTTTCTCTATATTTACTGGCATGAAAAATACTTATAGTACATTCTTTTAAATGTTTTGTGAAATATACAGAAAAGTAAACATAAAAATACCTACAGGGAACCAATTTCTCACAAAGCATACCCCTTATGACTACCACCGAGATGAAGAAACAGAATTCTGTACCTTCTTGTGGTCATTACTACTCTTCTGCAAGGCTGACCACTGTCCTGCTTAAAAGCAGTAATCATGGCTTTGCTTTTTTAAAAGAAAAATGTTTTACCACCCTACCGCTCATTTTTAAATACTACAGTTTACTTTGCTTATTTTTGACCTATATAGACTTGAGCCCACACAGTGAACATTCTTCTGTTCCTTATTTTGCTCAAATGTTATTCATTAATTTCATTGTATACTACATCATGTATCTATTGATATTTTTGCTACTGTATAGTAGTCCATGCATTGGGTTATATGACTATACCAAAATACATTTATTTCTTTTTCAATTGCTGGAGATTTGGTTTGATTTCAGTTTGAGGCTGTTACACAAGCAGGCTGTTCTGAGCATCTTTGTATATGTCTTTTTAACATACATACGCACTGTTTCTTTTGGGTGTGTATCTAGTATGGAATTGTTCTATTATGATATATGAGAATATCTGGTTCTAGTAGATACTGCCTGACTTCTATCTCCACAAGTTAGTCTTACTTGTTCTTGCACACATAAATGTTATTATAGTATGCACTTTTGTGTGCCTGCCTTCCTTGGTCCAATATAATGCCTTTGAGAGTATGCCACATAGATCGGAAGTTTTTCTTTTTTGTTTCCATCACAAGAATGCAATATACCAATAATATGCTCATTTATTTATCCATTCTTATGGTGGTGGACATTTGGGTTATTTTTACCAGGTACTCTGATTGCTCCCAAATCCCAAAGATATCACATTATGTTCACCCGTGTGTCTCAGTTGTCCCAGTCGAAGTGAGAGTGTGTGTGCATGTGTGTGTGTGTGATGTGCCCTGTGAGGAAGGGATGTCCTGTCCAGAATAGGGTTCTGCCTTATGCCCTCAGTTGTCAGGACAGGCTCTACCCTCTGAGACCCTTTACTAGAATAAATGAGTTAGAAAATAAATGAATGAATGAATACAAATGATTGTAGAATGTTAAGTAATTTGGGTCTTTATTTTTATTTTTTAAAAGACTTATTTATTTATGCATCTAAGAACTGGGGTGTAAGCCAGAGGTGCGGAGGGGTGAGAGGATTCACCAGAGAGTGGGGAGCAGAACAGGCAGATCTACTGAAATACACTGCTGAGGGGAGCAGCAGGCGAGACAGGGGTGTTCTGTTGCACCATATATGGTTTAGCTCCCTGGTGGGGGACAGGGGATCAAACTCAGGCCACCATGGTGATAGCACTGAGACTTAACCCCTAGCCCACCAGAGAGCCCCCAATTTGGGTCTTTATTCAGAAGTTTGGCAATGTTTTTGTAACCAGAAATATCCCATAGGAACTTAACCCTTTTTTATGTCAATTGGTGAAATTAGATTTGTTGCACAACATTTTGCTTAAATCCAAAGTTTCCAGAACCTATTGAGGATGCTAAATGGGGATTTATACAAACTTCCTCAATGGTTCCCTCTAGCGGTAGCCAGCAAGGTTTGGCTACTCTCATATCTACCATTTAAACAGCACCCTTGAACCTCCTTTTGCAGGAAACTGAGAACTTAACCCCTTCACCTCTGTCCCCCTCCCTCATCTTCCCAAGGTTTTACAACACTTTTTAAGGCAGTTTAGCTTGATATGAACTTTTTTTTTTTCAGCCACCACATGGAGTATAACTTGATCTCCCATCCCATAAGAGGAGACATTTCCTTTCACCTCTTCCCTTCTTCAGTCTCCCAAATTCTGATATCCATACTTTCCATTTTGCAATTCCAAGAACTCCTTAGGGAAGGCTTCTTAGGGAAGGCTTCCTCCCCTCTGCTCCCTACTCTGTCCCACAATAGATTCTTCAGCAGGGCACTTCCCATTAGGCTCTAATGGGGGATCCAACCATCCTATAGGGCAAGAGCAACTGGAGTTCTTCCTCCCCCTTCCTGTGAAATGCTGCCAGGATGCAGCTTCCCATTTCCTATGGCTGGGGGCTCTGCATGAAAGTCTCAGAGGACCCTAAGGCCCTCGATGACTCCTCAGCAGGCATATTAGATTCAGCCACCTCCATAGGCTGGGTCTAGGTGAAGGCCAAATGGCCAAACTCTGGCTCATCACTTATTACCTTTCTTTCCAGATTCCCCTCCTGGGAGCTGGAATTAAGATCCATGAGAAAAGGGTATCTGAAAATCTGCGGCCATTCCACGACCGGATGGAGGAATGTTTCAAGAACTTGAAAGTAAAGGTGGAGAAGGAATATGGTGTCAGAGAGATGGTAAATCTGTCCCTGTAGCCCAAAGGAGTAAGATGGTAGAGCCAGACTGGGAGGGTAGTGGGTCATGAGGATCACAGCTGGAAGGAACCCAGCACAGGACCCTGCCCTCCTGCAGAAGGACCTGAGGGCCATCATAACTGGATCAATCCAGGGGAAACTTCATTGTCACTCAGTCCCCCCAAAGTCACCCTCCAATAAACTCCAATCACAAATTGAGCCCTTAGCACTCAAGGAACCCTGTTAAGAATGCAAGCTACATTAATGAAGCACCTACTATGTGCCTGGTTGTTAGAAGCACTTGACATCTCCTAGGACTTTAGTCCTCAGAACAAGCCTGAGAGATGGGAGTGATCTTGACCCCTTGTGTTTCATCTGGAGGTTCAGAGGTCCTAAGTGACCTTCCAAAGTCTACACAGCTATGAATGCAGGCTAGACTTTATCCCTGGATTGCTGGTCTCCCAAGCCAATGTTTTTGGTCACTATGCCTACAGAGAGCATTGGTCTGATGGTCACGGGGACATCTTCTTTATCTTCTTCCCCAGAAATTGGAATCCTAAAATGTCGAGGCTGTACAGTCCCTTAGAGACTATCTGACCCAGTCCTCTAACTTACAGATGGGGAAACTGATTCCCAGAGTGCAGAAGTGCATTGCTAAAAGAGCCTAAAGGTAGACCCCAGACTCTTGTTTCTGATACAAGAGTGTTCCCTTGAGACAGGCCACCTCTTCCAACATACCATACATGACACCCCAGTGCAATTCTGACCTTACACACCCAGAGGTGGGTCAGATTTCATGGACTCCACAAGATTCTCCTCATTAAAGACACCAGGGTTCTCAAGCCACCTGCACTTTTCATCAGCTGTTTATAGATGTGAATATTCTCACTGCCCGTCAGGCTTGATAATTCCACAGGCCTCAAGAGAGCACTATTCTTGTGACTACAGTTTTATCATAAGGGATACAAACCAGGTCCAGCAAAATGAAGAGATGCCTAAGCTGGGGTCTGGGCGGGTCCCAGACATTGGTTTCTGTGTCTTCAGGACAGGTTACCCCACTGTCCCCACCAGCACATCGTGTATGATTACTAACCAGGAAAGCTGGCCCCAGCCCAGTGTCCTTAGTTTAATTGGAATTCATGATGTAGGCGTGACTGAATGAATCATTTGCCATGTGACAGAGATCGACCTCCAGCCCCCTCCTCTCCCCCGAGGTTGAGTTGATCTCACCCGGCTCAAAACCCCAGCCCTGTAATCTCAAGTGGGTCATTCTGAGTCTCCTGAGTTTTTCATTAGCATGAGGGGCCACCAGGAATAACAAAGACACTCCCATCACCAGGGAAATTGTAAAGATGTAGTGATCACCTCCCAGGAACCAGGGAGAAGTGCCAGGCAAAGTCTTTATTAAACTGCCAAGAAGCTTTTGTCCTGATGCCCGGTCTGCCCCACAGCTCCGCCTGCCCAGGTGGAGAGGAAGGTAGCAGGAAGCTGGAGACCGTGTCCCCCCACCTCCTACCCTGCTCTCAGCCTAATGACTGCTAATGCCAGGTTCTCCACCCACAGCCTGAATTCGAGGAGAAGCGTGTGGGTGTGGGCCGCCCCCGGTCGATGCTGCGTTCCTACAGGCAGATATCCATCATCTCTATGGCATCCGTGAACTCTGACTGCAGCACCCCCAGCAAGACCACCTCTGAGAGGTCAGTCCCAGCCCCAGGCAGCCCCCTGTGCCCCTGACTCAGCCTCCAGCAAAGCATCACTGCTGTTCCTTCTGCCCCAGCAATTTCCTCAAATCCTCCCAGCCCTTATGTCTCAAAGCCTCTCCCACCTTTCTTTACTGAACCCTCGCATCACCCCAGAGGCTGCTTCATTTCTTTTTTTTTTTTTAATATTTTATTTTATATAATTCTTACATCATTTTTCATCTTTGCACAATGTGTGCATTTTCATTTTGGTTATATTCCCCATACAATTGCACCCCCCCTTATTTTGACCCTAGTCCTTCCTCTCCCCGCCCCACCCCCCCTGTAGTGTGTCTCTGGTTTATAGTTGCTTGTTGATTTTGATTTTCACTTTGTATTAATTAGTCTTTTTCCTGGTCCCTTATTTCAGTTTTCTAAATTCCTGCTATGAGTGAGACCATCCGGTATTTTTCTTTTTCTTTCTGACTTATTTTGCTGAGCATGATCCCTTCCAGCTCCATCCATGTTGCTGCAAACTGCATGTGTTTATATTTTTTTAATTGCTGAGTAATATTCCATTGTGTATATGTACCACATCTTCTCGATTCAGTCATCTATTTGGGGGCATTTGGGTGCCTCATTTCTTAGTGCCATCGCTAGAGATCATTGAGGCTGGGACAGGACAGGTGACTTTGCCTAAATACCAGCAGGCAAAAATACCACGATCCCAGGATACCCAGTCCAGCAGTTCTATGGCCAGACCTCACACAACCTGCTTCAGTCTGGAACCTGTCCTAGCCCACCACAGAGCAACCCTCTTGAACCTTCCAGACCTCTTTTGGGGTCTTCCCTCTCTCACCCTAGGAAAAGCCTGCCCTTCTACCTTCCTGGAACCCCTGTGCCTCTCTCTCAGCAACAACAACAGGCGCCATGGACCAGCATGCTCCAGGGGCCCAGAATGTATGAGGGGTCTCAGACCTTATCTCAGGCCACTCTGCAAGGTTGCTGCATACTCCCCCAGTTACTGAAAAGGAAGTAACAGCTCAAAGAGTTTGATGACTTGCCCAAAGTCATTCAGCTAAAATGTAGCAGAATCTGGATTTGAATCCAGAAACATATGTTTATCCACCCTTCTCTTCTCACTACCAGTCTTTCCTTTTTATGGTTCTCCTCCACCAATTTAATTCACCCTGTGTTCTGAATGTTTGCCAAGTCAGTAAGTCACTTCACAAAGAGCCAATTTATCTGATCTACTTCCTCAATCCTATAGTGACAACTTGGGCATGGCAGTCCCACTGAGGCTCTGACGAGTTTCTATTGCTATCCCTCTTGCCCTTTAGCTTTGACCTGGAAGTAGCACCCCCTAAGACTCCAAAAATGGAGTCAGAGGACCCAATCTCTCCGGGGAGCACACTACCAGAAGTCAAACTGCGGCGGTCCAAGAAGAGGGCCAAGAGGAGCAGCGTGGTGTTTGCAGATGAGAAGGCAGCAGCCGACTCAGACATGAAGCGGGTAAGTGGCTGAGCAGGCTGCCTCCTGATGCCCTTACTAAATCTCAGCTTCACCCAGGCACTGTTCAGAGCTCAGAGACATGGTCCCAGTCAAGCCTCACTTTCAAAATGAGGACCTGGCAGAGCCAGGATTTGAACCCAGGTGTCGAACTCTATGCACATCCTTCCTAGCATTGCACAGGGATTTGCAAGGCAAGGGAGTAGCAGCTGGTTTCACCCACTGAAGGAGAGAGGCCTCTTGGTTGGGGACCTCTGTCCCAGCCACAGGATCATTTGAACCCCCTTAGGGAGGTCCTCAGTGTCTAAGAACTAAGCCTCTCAGTGTCCGGGAGCTGAGCCAGGCCACAATGCCCTTACTTGGAGGACTTTTGTCTTTAAATGTGTTGCTCTTAAAATGAGAGTTGGTGCCAGATAGCCTTGGGTTCAAGTCTGTCTTTCCCCTGAAAGAGAAGTTTATAAGTTTGTTGAAAGTGTTCTGGGAGTCTCAGAAGAGGAGCGGGATTAACTGGCAAGGAAGGGATGTCAGATGAAAGGACAAAGGACCATCTAAAATGCCTTGCAGTGAAGAAAAGAACCTCCACAAACTATCCAGTGGCCCACAGAGGCTACTCTTGCCAGAGGAGAAAGGCTGGCGATAAGTCTTCTATGTTTCACAATCCTAGAGGGTCATTCGTATAATACAACTCCTGGAGTTGTACATGTCAGACAGGCATGGAATGATACAAAACGAAATAAATAAACTTGGGAGTTGGGTCCATGGAAGCCTTGCCAAGCCCTCATCACTGACTTTTCAGATCCAGAGCTGCCTCATAATAAGGGTGTGTGTGTGTGTGTGTGTGATGTCTTATCCAGCTTTCCAGGAAGCATGAGTTCATGAGTGACACCAACCTCTCGGAGCACACAGCCATCCCTCCCAGGACCTCCATTCTCTCTCAGATGAGTTTTGCCAGCCAATCGATGCCCACCATCCCAGGTATGCACACTGCCACCACCAGCATGGGGAATAAATGTAGTGTAGACTCCGCTGGAAAGTAGAGGATGGCTAAAAACCATTTCTACACAGGAGGTCAGGGGTAAGAGGCTCTGCTCACAGCCCCCCCCATCCCCCAATTTCTCCCAACACCCCCTTGTGTGGGTAAAGTTATCTAGAACATGGGATAGTAGAGGCTTGCTGTCACTCTGGTCCTCAGGAGCCACTGGGACTCCATGGTCACATCAGGTGGCCCTATGTTCTAAGTTTGTCCAGCCTCCACAGGAGTAGGTCTCTGTCTCTGATATGTTCCTAAGTCCTCTGTTTCCTTTTTGGAGCTGCAGGACTATTTCTAGAACTTACAGAAATTGCCACCACATCTTAGAGCTTAGAGTTGCAGCATGTGTATTCCCCATCCTCATTGTCCAGCGGGGATTGGGGGGGGTGTTCTGCCTCCACAGAGGAGAACCTAACACTCTAACTGGGAAAGCGGCTCACCC